AAACTAGAGGGTGCCATAGGAAACCTTTGGTGAAGTTGTGGATGATTGATGGGTGAAGTGGCTATGGAGGAATGAGATGAGTTTGAATGCTTGAAGATGTGTGTATTTATGGAGAGAAATGAAAGGTGCAAAAATGGTGTAGTTGATGACATGGAGTAGGTGCCATAAGAGTTGGTAAACTGAACTTGTGCCATAAAATGATATAAACTACCAAAAGGTTCAGTTAGCAAAAACTAAACCTACTCTAATTCTTTGCAAATTCACCCTTGAATCGTCTTTCGGTCATCCGTTCCCAATCTTAAACGGCCCGTGATCCAAATTCCGAGCCTCACTCCGGAGATTGGTCCGTTTTTGGCATGACTGTAGACACTACAACAAACTCGATTTTATAGGACACTTGTTATTATAAGGCACTTTTTCTAATAATGTCATAAAAAAAACTAATAAGACGCTTTATATCAAAATTGTCCTATAAACGCAAAAACATCTTATCAACTTATCGTAACACCTTCACATGAGACGTATAATTGTTTAGTCCTGTAACTTAAAGTTCTATGAAACAGTTTATTATGACATTTGAACGTTTTTGGGGTCCTATGAAGCCGATTTTCTTGCAGGAAAAACTGACCTGGATCAATGATCAACATTGGACCTATCCACTTGATGAAACCAATTCTGCCGCAAGTGAACAGCTGCTTTTATCGTCACCACAAGTGCTCATGACCAATGCTTCCCAGGACCCCAAATTCGGGGCCATTCGCCTTTTCACCATCTCCTCCATAACAATGTAAGCATCATCCATCTTCCCGTTGTTAACCAACCCGACAATCAAACAACAAAACGTTTCCAATCGTGCACAATGCCTACTCATCAGCATTGTGTTTAGAATCTTCAAACCATCATCGAATTCTCCATTTCTGCAAAAACCAGCGACTATCATTCTATATGTGGCTGCGTTTGGGTAGAAACCATTGATCTGCACCTCAACCAAGATCTTGTAGGCTCTCCAACTCTATGGTCTTTGCAGAGATAATTGATCAGTATGTTATACATTACAACATTGGGCTTAATTTGCCTCTCCTTCATTTCAAGAAGCAAACTTTTAGCTTCATCAAAGTTTACGCTTTTTGCAAGATCGTTCATTATAATGCCGTAATTGACAAGCTGCGGTTGAAACCTTGATATTCCATATTGAACATCATCTTTTTGGCTTCTTTGAACTTATCTTGTGAACACAATCTCTCCATTAATCGCTTTTGGTTTTTACCCTTTGCGGATCATCTCGTCAAACAAGCTCTTAGCCTCAGCAAACTTGCCCTTTTTACTCCAAAATCCTATTTGACAATAGTAAGTTATGACAGTGGGTTCAATTTCTCTCTCAAGCATTTCATCGAACACGTTACGGGCTTCATCCCACTCGCCCTTCTGTAGCCGCCCTTTCATCATTTTATTGAATGACACAGCATTTGATCGAAACCCCATTTCCGAGCAACACTTGAACATCTCCTCCGCATCATCAAACTTCCCATTCTGAGGCAAAACATTGAGAATCGCATTTAACGACTGCAATCAACCAGACTTTCTGTAATGGTCAATCAACCCAATGAACTTTGCTTCTTGACATCTGACGTTATAGTGGTGGAGGTCTTGAAGAAGGATTTCGACTGCTTTGAAGTTTCTTTTTACGAGCAAGCTTGTAGATGAGAGAAGAGTAAGAAGGGTAATCGTGTTTAAATCCGTCAGTTTAGCAGTAATCGCGGAAGAGAGTGAGAGCTTCATCTGGGTTTTGAAGGTCTTTGAGGTCAGTGACGCAAGTAATCTACATCGAGTGCAATGTATCCAAATGAATTGCCTCCATTGGCCTACCCATTTAAGTAATCTTATCTCTTTGTTACAATCGTTTGTGTTCTCTCTCTCTAACACACTTGCAAAACTAACAATGAACACAACAAAACCACAAGGGTGGTGCCTGATTGGTTTGAGCTTGACTCCAAAGGTTAAAAGTACCAGGAGGTCTCAAGTTCAAATCCAAGGAGGAATAAAAATCCCCTTGTGGTCACGGAGGTTCAAATGTGGTGACTCTGGACTATCTGAAAAACAGGAGGTCGCCTTGAGATTAGTCGGCTCGCATAGCGGGTTGGATATCCAGGTTAATAAAAAAAACAATGAACACAACAGAATCAAAATGTATTCAAAACTCTTTGGTATTAATTTTACACACAAATTTCTTGTAACATAACATAAACACAGCAAAAGATAACGGAAGTAGAAAGCAAAACACATACATATAGAAACTAATAAGCAAGGAACACAGTGAAGTGAAGCAATGTCTCTGTGCCATCATTGTTCTGCTGGTTGGTCCCTTGGAAAGTCTTCACTATTGCATGCCCCTTTGCATTCACGTACTTTCCGGTGCCACCCATCACCGCTAGCTGCGACTCCGCCACTGCACTCCGGTGAACCCCCATAAAGCTCAGGCTATCGATATAACTTCCGTGAACAAACATCACAGTGAACGCCATCGTTTGACTCTTTCCATCTATCGAGCTCGATACGTAGAACCCTTGTGCCTTTCCGATTAACCCGGACCCGAGCTCGTGTCCTTCGGTTAATTCGTCGTCGATCACGGTCAATGTCCCGAACATAAACTGTTGTAACGCGTTGCCATTAGGGAGCTGCCCGCCATTGATGGCGGCAAACGCGTTGTTATTGTTGTTGTTGTTGTTTCCGTTGTTATTGTTTCCGTTGTTTTGGAAAACGTTCGAGGTGGTTCCGCCGAGGCCGGTTAGGAACGGCAGATTGTTGTTGTTGATGATTCCATTATTTCCGTCATCTTGAGGAACACCGTTGTTCACCGGAAGGTTAGCGCCATTCGGTTTAGCAAATGGGACCTGACCGTTGACCGCCGGGTTGGTAACCGCTCCAGTGACAGCCTTAGCCGATGGGTTCGACCCGCCAAGAATATCGTGCATGAAGAACTCAAGCGTGTGATCAGAACCTTCTTCGACAGGTACCACACCAGCACTAGAAGCTGGGTTAGGAGGGATGGCGCCCAAAGGAGTTACATTAGGAAGAGGGGTGTCGGGCTCAGGTGCAACCACTGGGACCGCTGGCTCTGGTTCCTCATTGAGGGTTCGAGCCGAATTGACTACAGAGAAGGTGGTGGCTAGGACCAGAAGGGACAGTAGTGAAAAGCAAGTGAAACTAGAGGGTGCCATAGGAAACCTTTGGTGAAGTTGTGGATGATTGATGGGTGAAGTGGCTATGGAGGAATGAGATGAGTTTGAATGCTTGAAAATATGTGTATTTATGGAGAGAAATGAAGGGTGCAAAAATGGTGTAGTTGATAACATGGAGTAGGTGCCATAAGAGTTGGTAATCTAAAACTTGTGTATAAACTACCAAAAGGTTCAGTTAGCAAAAAGTAAACCTACTCTAATGCTTTGCCAATTCAGCCTTAAATAGTCTTTCAGTCATCCGGTCCCAATCTTAAACGTCTCGTCATCCAAATCCCGAGCCTCACTTTAGAGATTGGTCTGCTTTTTGGCATGACCGCAGACACTACAACAAAATCAGTTTTATAGGCCGCTTAAGCCGCTTAAATGGCCTAATATTCTGTTTTATATGACTTAAGTTTATAGAATCAAACAACTGTGCCTCATACATAAAAGGTGTTAAGAGTAATGTTAGGACGTAGATGAGCATCCTAACAAGTTTTTAGAACACTCTTGAAATAAACTGCCTTGTTAGCTTTCTTTATAGAGACTTTTGAGAAGTGTTTTGTAGACACATCTTTTACAGAACGGTTATTATTACAAGACATTTTTTTTAATAATATCATATAAAAAAAACTAATACTCTGATTTATTTCAAAATTGTCCTAAAATATTCTATCAACTCGTTGTAACATATTTACATGGGATGCATAGTTGTTTGGTCCGGTGAACTTAAAGTTCCATAAAAGAGTCTATTAGGACATTTAAATATTTTTGGCGTCCTATTAAGCCCATTTCGTTGCAGCGAAAACTGACCTGGATCAATGATCAACATTGGACCTATCCACTTGACGAGACCAATTCCGCCACAAGCAAACAGCCGTTTCCATCCCTGCCACAAGTGCTCGTGACCATTGCTTCCCAGGACTCCAAATTTGGGCTCATTCGCCTTCTCACCATCTCCTCCATAACAAAGTAAGCATCATCCATCTTCCCGTTGTTAACCAACCCGATAATCAAGCAACAAAATGTTTCCAATCGTGCACAATGCCTACTTATCAGCATTGCATTTAGAACCTTCAAACCCTCTTCGAATTCTCCATTTCTGCAAAAACCGTCAACTATCATTCTATATGTGGCTGCATTTGGATCGAAACCGTTGACCTGCATCTCAACCAAGATCTTGTAGGATTCTCCAACTCTTTGTTCTTTGCAGAGATAATTGATTAATATGTTATACATTACAACATCTGGCTTAATTCGCCTCTTCTTCATTTCAAGAAGCAAACTTTTAGCTTCATCAAAGTTTCCCCTTTTAGCAAGATCGTTCATTAAAATGCCGTAATTGGTAAGCTGCGGTTTACAACCTTGGTATTCCATGTCGAACATCATCTTTTTGGCTTCTTTGAACTTATCTTGTGAACACAATCCTTCCATCAATATGGCGTACGATATCGCATTTGGTTTTTGCCCTTTGCGGATCATCTCGTCAAACAAGCTCTTAGCCTCGGCAAACTTGCCTTTTTTACTCCAAAATCCTATTTGACAATTGTAAGTTACGACAGTAGGTTCGATTTCTCTCTCAAGCATTTCATCGAACACCTTACGGGCTTCATCCCACTCGCCCCTCTGTAACCACCCCTTCATCATGATATTGAATGACACAGCATTTGGTCGAAACCCCATTTTCGAGCAACACTTGAACATCTCCTCCGCATCATCAAACCTCCCACTCTGAAGCAAAACATTGAGAATTGCATTCAACGACTGCAATGAACGGTAGCAGTCAAACGACGGCATTCTCCGAAACAACTCGATGGCTTTGTCAGGCAAACCAGACTTTCCGTAATGCTCAATCAACCCAATGAACAGAGCTTCTTTACATCTGACGTTGTAGTGGTGGAGGTCTTGAAGAAGGATTTCGACTGCTTCGAAGTTTCTTTTACGAGCAAGCTTGTAGATGAGGGAAGAGTAAGAAGGGTAATCGTGTTTAAAACCGCCAGTCTCGCAGTAATCACGGAAGAGGGTGAGAGCTTCATCTGGGTTTTGAATGTCTTTGAGGTCAGTAACGAAAGGTATCGGTTTGCGAAGGAGAGCTTTGGTGGGCTTGTGAGGTCTCTGTTTGTGATAATGGCGAAGGAAAGTGAGATTAAAGTGTGATTTGCGAAGAACGGACATAACTATTAGTTTCGTGAATCGAAGCTCTGATGAAGCGATCATCGAAGATACGAAACTCGCAGGGAAGAAAGAGTCCGCATCTGCATGCGTGGCTAAAAATGAGTCCGACGGTTTGAATGACGGTCGAAAAACCTGTATCTTCGATGCACCCTAACTAGAATTATAAATTATGTGGTTTATATTTTCAAAAATTATTTTAATGGATCAAATATCTATATTATATTTTACTAAAATAGTAAACATGTAATACAACGATATACATCTTGATTTTAATATTTTATTTTATTTTTTATCTTAATCGATGTTATAATATGGTCTTATATGATTTTGAGAAAGCGATAATATTTTTATTTTTGAATAAAATATAAATTTCGAAGATATTATAAAAATTTGACAAAAATATATCGATATTAGTATCAAATTAATTATTTAAAAATCCTCATTTTTATGTTATTTTTTAATTTATTTTTATTATAATTTAATTTAAGTGAAATAATTTATTTTCGGTTTAATAATATAATTTCTTATAAAGATAATAATTAATTATTTTATTAGTACTCGATAATTATCTTAATTATATTTTAGATTTTTTATATTTTAAAATTAGGTGTTTATTCTCTATTTGATTATGTTTATCCATAGTTAGTTATATGAATTCAAACATTGAGCTTTAATAAGTTGTACTTATGCATATTTACTTGTAATCTTGAATTTAAGTAATATGCATCAATATACAGTACTTCATGCATAAAAAATAGTTTTTAAGGGTTTTTCTCAAATGCTTTATAATATAGTATATATATAAAAACTAATAAAAATTGATAAACATTCTTAAAATTTAAGACTATAATTAAATTATGTATAAGTAAGCTTATTAAAACTCTATGTTTGAATCTGCATAACTAACTGCAGATAAGAATAATCAAATAATGATAAATATCGTATTTTAAATATAAAAATGAACTAAAATATAATTTGAATAATCATGAGTCATAATAGAATACTTAATTATTGTTTTTATAAAAACTTATGTTATTAAACTAAAAATAAATTACTTTGTTATTAAGTCTAAATTAAACTATAATAAAAAATTAAATTATAAAATTATAAAAAACAGAAACTTTTAAATATTTAATTTCATGCCAATATCTATATTTTTTCCTTCAAATTTTTAAGATATATTCATGTTTATATTTTATTCAAAAATAAAAATGTGATCGTCTTTTCAAAACCACATAAAATTGTTTTATAACATTGACAGAAACAATAAAAAAACAAAACATTAAAATCAAGATGTATCTTGCTGCATTGTGCGAGTACCCTTCTAATTGTTTAGTAATGCATAATTGCATTTACTTAAAATTCAATATTACAATTAAATGGTACATAGGTACAACTTTTTAAAGCTATATGTTGAATTCACATAACTAACTGGTAAATGCATGATAAATATATCATTTTAAATATAAAAATCTAACATATAATCAAAATAATTATTGAGTTCTGACAGGATAATTATTTATTATCTTTATAAAAAAACATTATATTATTAAACTAAAATAAATTACCTCGCCATCAAACCTAAATTAAATTATAATAGAAAATTTTAACTAAAAATTATCTTTATAAAAAAAATTATATTATTGAACTTAAATTAAATTATAATAAAAAGTTGTGCTAAAAATTATACAAAAAACGAGAATTTTCGAACTGTTAATTTAATACTATTATCAATATATTCATTTCAAATTTTTATGAGGTCTTCAAATTTATACTTTATTCAAATATATAAATATTTCCCAAAACCATACAAAATCATATTATAAAATTGTAGGAGATAAGTAATAAAACGAAACATTAAAATCATGATGCATCGAGATGATTCTTTCTTTTAAATCAAAAAATAATTCAAGAAACTACTGAGCAAAAGGTTGATTAACGATAATTTCGATCGGTTTCACGTAGAAGCTGCTCTCTAAGAATTACTAGCTAACTTAGCAGCTTAGACTAGTGGAGGGTTCAAGTCCATCTTTAACAGGATTCAAAAAATTATTATTATCAAAACAAATTATATGAAAATGTAAAATTTATTTTGACATGATTTAAAGTTAGTTTAACTGACTCAGTGTAATTGGAAAAAAAAAAAATAGGTGTCTTAAAGGCGCACATGTTTTGTATTGATATGTGTAATGTGTTTGATATGTGTGTAATGTGTTTCTTTAATTAGTGTTTGGTATGCATACTGGATGTCACTGGACATGACTGGACGGGACATGACTAATTGTCTGTCCTATGTTTGGTACGACTAGGACAAGACATGACAAAACTGTTAAAATGACCATATTACTCTAAAATGTTGTTCAATGTTATTTTATAAAATGAAACAAATCAACCAAAATATATTTTAACTAGTACTTGACATCGCGCGTTGCGCGATGACTATAATTTTTTTTTAAAATTATTTAAGTTAGCTAAATGAGTCGATGATCACGTTTATATATATGAAATTAATAATAATCAATAATTACTTTGATATATAAATTCACCTTATCATTATTGATTGTTCTTTATTTATATATATATATATATATATAGAGAGAGAGAGAGAGAGAGAGAGAGAGAGAGAGAAGCGATCAAATGAAAACCACTCCAATTTGTAAAAACCGTAAAAACTACTCTCATCCATCGTTAATCTTATGAAATTTTTTTATGAAATTGTTAATCTTATGAAATTATTTCATATAATATTTTTTTTTGATGAAGTTGTTTCATATGTGGTTATGAAATTGTTTCATAATGAAATTTTAATGAAACCGTTTCATGTATTTCTCTAAAATTAAAATAATGAAGATGATAATATCCATGATTAACACTCTCCACAATAAAAATGGTTAATCAACCTCTCATAATTACAAAAAAATGAACAAAATGAAAAATTATGATTGATTGAATGAAGTTTTCACGGTTTTTACAAATTGAGTAGTTTTTATTTGAACTCACTCATATATATATATATATATATATATATATTAATAAGTCTTATATATCAATCTTTTATTATTTAAAACTTTATAATTGATTCAAAATCATAAAAAAATGTGAAAGTATTGATTTATAATCATGAGGTGTATTATGATAATTGTTTTGTACATATCAATTTATCTCATATGTATATTGTCATAAAATATTTATATTCATCAAACAAACATTGTGTTGTTACCTACTTTGATATAATTGTTAAATATTTTTATAATTTGCTCATATTAGTCATAATATACTCATTTGCATCATTGACCAAAAACCTCCTTAAAACCCCTATTTTCCTACATGCAATTGCACAAAGTAGAACAATAACATTATGACCATTCCAGATTCCAGATACATAAGTCTGATTGATTTGTTATTTTTTCATTTCATGTCTTTTGGTTCTTACTTATAGATTATATATTTATAGATATAAAGGTTTATTAGATCATTATATGTAACTTATATATAAAATAAATGAAAGGTTTGTTCATTTAATGATATGTTTTTATTTAAAATAATTCAAAAATTGGAAAAAATAGCAACCAATGATTCTATCTCTCTCAAGATGACACATCATCTTTTGATGATTCTCATTTATATATATATATATATATATATATATATATATATGGGCAAATTGCATGAAAAAGTAACGTACTTTAACTTGATTCCTATTTTGGGTAACGTACTTTCAAAACTTCTATTTTGGTACCTAAGATGTAAAGTTTTAAACATTTAAGTACTCGGGTAACCACTTGAAGACTAAAATTAGATTAAAAAAAGACTAATTTTATATTTAAAAAAATCCACGTCACTGACCACGTTAGCAAATAATACCGAGTTGGATACCACATCACTCGCCACATCAGCATGATAATCGGTTAATACTTCAACCAGTTACCCGGGTACTTAAATGTTTAAAACTTTACATCTTAGGTACCAAAATGAAAGTTTTGAAAATACGTTACCCAAAATAGGAATCAAGTTAAAGTACGTTACTTTTTCATGCAATTTGCCCTATATATATATATATATATATATATATATATAGAGGTTGGTTCAAATAGAAACCAACCACATATATATATATATATATATATATATATCATAGTTTTTGTAATCAAGTTTAATACATTAAATATATATCCAAAAAAATGACAAAAAGGTGTTGACGAGCCAACCCGACAATCGCACTTAAATATTACCCATTTTGACTTGTTATTCAACCCACCTTTCACTTTTGTCATTTGCAACCACGGTTTATTATTTAAGATTGTACTTGCAATTAATCCCTGTTTTCCCTCTCCCAAGCTTATACTAGATAAATTGAAACTTCATGTTTCTCCTCCAAGAATTGGATGACTACAGAATCTTACTGAAAGATATAAAAGAGGCTACCAATAACTTTATTCATGAAAATGTTGTTGAGGAGAGCGGCTACGGAAAGTTGTATAAAGGAGAACTTTTACACTCGAAAGGGCTTGTCACAAATGAGATGAATTAGGTTTCTATTGGAATGAAATAACAAGAATAATATTGACATTTTAACTTTAGTCCCATGTTGTTCCACCTTTTTTGGTGGAACAAGAAATATCAAGATTTGTTCCATGAAAATCAAAAATAGTCTCATCTTATTCCCATGTTTTTTTTGTCCATGGCATGCCAAACATTGGACTTTTTTTTGTCCATTCCTATCCCATGTAGTCTGCATAACAAACGCACTCTTATTATACAAAAAGTGGCCTCAGTCTGCTCTTGGTGTCACTGCATGTAGTATTACAGGCTAGAAGTTCAAAACTAAGTCACTGCTTTTCTAAAAAAAAATTATAACATCAACAGAAAAATAACACTTGGATGTTACAAAAAGCTGTTATATCATTTTTAATAAAATTGTAGTTTTTACAATTAATATTTGTTTTATTTTATATTATATCAGTTATTTTGTGCCCTTGGTAAAAAAAATTCTCTACTTATCTCTATATAAAAATGAAAACACGAGTCAATAACTAAGGAATACGAAAGCAAGAAGCTAGAGTCGTCTATGAATTTCGATTGTACACAGGAACGTAGTTACGTATATACTTTTAGGTCGGTTGATGATTCTAAACAAAAGAAGATGAAACAATTAACGTTTATCTCCTTAAAAAAAACATGAACTTTAAGTATTTATACCGAGTATTTTTAAATACTGAATATCAAAATTTATTTAAAGTATTCATCACCAAATGTTTATTTAAACTTTCATAAGAACGTCTCAGCAGATTCTCTAAAATAAAGAAAATAGAGGTTCTGTTCCAGGGACGAATGGCCTATTAGGGGGCCTGGCCCCTATGCTATTTTTTCCTACATAGTAGCATATTTTTGGTCCATAAGCTTTTAGTATACACAATTTTTTGGTGGCCCCTCCACTCTTGATCCAGCGACATCGACAGACGACAGTGGACAGCCTCCAGTGACATCGACGACGACGACAGGCAGTCCTCCAACGGCAGACAGGGCACTGATGCTCAGTCCTCCCGCCTCCGGCAGTGCTCTTGACGACGGTAAGTCCTTCTGTTCTCTGTTCCGCCCCTGTTTTATTCGTTATTTTACTCCAACAAATTAGTTCAAAATGACCAAAAAAATAAAAAATATTTTTAACAGATTCTCTAAAACGGAGAATCAAAAGTCAATTTTTTTTAAGAAAAATTACTTTCATCTTCAACAATTTCTCCATTTTGTAGAATACAATATTAATTATATCATTAAAATATTTAATACATTTAAAAAATATTATTTTTCTTTCATAAACATTTAATTTCAAGATTTCTCATTGATAGTAATAATAAAAAATAATTCCTTTTTCGAAAATGCTCATTTATTGAAAATTCTCCAAATTTCGTTTTTCTCTTTATTTTAAAGAATCTGTTAAATATCCTCTTGAAATGAAACATATTTATGTCGTTCTTCAAAAACGTGTTTCAACTACGCCAACCTTACTTTTACGTTCAAATATTTCTCGGTTATTTCAATGTCTTTTTAATAAACACGTCATCTTCCATTCTAAAATAAGTTTCTACATTTCTATTTTAAGTTGTTACAAAATATCTACTTTAAGTAAAATACCTAGTTTCTAGTTTTAGTTAATTTTTAGATAGAGAAATTAAGTACTCTATCCATTATCGAAAGTAGAAATGTCATTTTGTTAATTAAAAGTGTAATAATTATGTATATCTAAAACTGTGTGACTTTTTCATTGTAAACATTTATGGGGTGTTTGGGATTTGCTTATTTAAAACAAGTTATGTTTTTTTTTTACAAAAGTCATTATCAACTTATTATAAGTTGAAAGGTTTTAACTTCTTCAAAAACTCTTTATTACCGGTATAAACTGTTTATCCAAACACTGAAAAATGTATTATTATCAGTGTCACACCGGAATAAGTCAATAAATTGTTTTTATAGGCAATTCTAAACACCTCCAAGGGAATATTTTTAAAAATGGATACGGTTTATTTTCTGTTCTATTTTTCTTGATCAGTTTTACTATTTTTATCCATTTAGCTATTAAATAGTGTTTACATTTGCTTAATTTTTAATTAATGTTTAAAAATATGAGGAATTTTTAGAAAAACCTACCGAATATCCTATTTTGAATGATTAAGTTTTTAAACTACTTTTTAATAAAAAAACTGTTAAACTTTTTTATTTTGAATGATTAAGTCTCTTAACTATTTTTTTGAATAAAAAAACTACTAAACTTTTTCATTTTGAATGATTAAGTTTTTAAACATTTTTTTGAATAAATAAGTCATCGAACTTCTAAAACTTGGTTACCTACAATTTTTAATTAAAAACGACCTATCAATAACTAACTAGGAATGTTTTAAATTAAAAAACAAACATAAATCAGTTTTACTGCGTCCAAACCCTACGCCATTAAAACCCCTCGCAAACAAACAATATCACTTTCGCTCACCACTTTTCACTGTCCCGTTGTTCGTTATTCGTATCTCCTAACATGCTTTTGGCCCCTGCCATTGATCTCCCTCTTTTTGATCTATTTGTTTAAAAGATAACCAATTACAAATAGTTTTTTTGGGTTAAAAAAAATGTACCTAACCAATTTTTAAAAGTTCCATGGTTTAATTTATTGAAAAAAAATGTTCAGTCACTTGATCATCCAAAATAAGAAAGTTTAATGTTTTTTTATTCAAAATTTGAAAATTAAAGATTTTTTCATTCAAAAAATAATAATTCAAGAACTTAATCATTTAAAATGAGATAGTTTATTAAATTATTTTCTAAAAATAATCAAATACAAAAGATAATTATGTATCAATTGTTCACATTAAATCATTTTATATTAAATAAATTTTAATAAAAAAAATGTATTTTCATATAAAAAAAACAAATACAAGCATAAATGTCACATTCTTGTTTGGTGGTTCCTGTTTTCAACTTTTCTTTCATGATACATGCCAACCAATTGACATGTCCAATGTTTGGGTAGTACTACACTAGTACTCCATCCACCCATCCATTTAATTACTTACCATCCTCATACCGTGAGTGATATGATATCCAATTCAGTATACTTTGCTATTTAACTCAATTTTATTCCATCACTCGTTACATAAGAATGATAATCGGTTAATACTTTAACTGGTTACCCAAATACTTAAATGATTAAAACTTTACTACTTAAATATTAAAATGAAAGTTTTAAAAATACATTACCTAAAATTGAATCAAGTTAAAATAAGTTATTTTTTGTTGAAATTTACCTCTTTGTAAAATAAAGAAAAAAAATAGAGAAAATAAAGAAATCTTCAAATTTGAAAGAAGAGAGAGAAAACACATACAACAAAGAGAATCAAGAATCTTACAATTAAACAGTCAAACTGTTGATTCTTGATATGATGTTTATAGTTCCTAACCTCTGATTATTTCTTCAAATCGTTGATCATTAGTCTCCCATTAAAAATCACTAGATTTTGAAAATTAGTTTTTTATAGTACTTGATCGATCGAGCTTCCTCCCTGAATGATGTTCGGGTGGACTCCGCCGCACGGTGTGGGGCCCCTGACACCCGTATCGGAGAATTCTGAAGTTCCGGACTCGCCGTTGCCCTATTTAGACACAACCACCAGTCGCCGGAATTTTCCAGAGAAGAATGATGATATCGAGGAGGAGGATGAAGTGATTCCGCCGTCGGCGGTGCCGTTTACGGCGTTGTTTGCATGTGCTGACGGGTTTGATTGGATTCTTATTGCGGTGGGGTCGCTGGCTGCTGTGGTTCATGGTGCATCCCTCGCTGTATATTTACATTTATTCGGAAAAATTATTCATTTATTGAGCTTCCATAGTAATGCAGATGAACTTTTCAACCATTTTTCTCAGGTACTTATCATATGTTATTCTATTTCTGTAGTTGATTGTGAGTTTCTTTCACAATTTCTCACGCTTTCTTTTCGTTATTAATATGCAGCATGCTCTGTATATTGTATATATAGGTTTGGCTGTTTTTGCTGCTGGATGGATTGGTAAGATAGAAATTTTATTCCATTTTAGAAATTACTTTCTACAGTCATACAAGAGATCTTCAGTGAACTTTGTAGAAAATTGCATAGAAATATTTGGATTATAGACAATTTCTTCACCAAATTGCCTATGAATCTTTGGATTAAAATGTAAAGAGCTACAGTGAGCTTTGTAGCAACTGCTAAAATTTGTAAACAAAATCCATATCAATTTCAAATAAAAATAGTAGCAGATGGGACTTCAAAAATCGAACAACATCCTAGTTTCCGATTTGAAGTATGTTGTGATGCATTCATGTCTTTTTGTAAATGTGAACTTGTTTTCAACTTGCAGAGGTTTGGTGTTGGATTCTTACTGCGGAAAGGCAAACTGCTGTAATTAGGACCAAGTATGTTCAAGTGATATTAAACCAGAACATGAGCTTTTTCGATGCCTATGGACACAATGGGGACATAGTGAGCCAAGTCTTGACTGATGTTCAAGTTATCCATTGTGTTCTTGGTGAAAAGGTATAGTTATTTTCTCTGTCCAATGAAACAATTTGTATTTGTTTCTCTTTCTCTTTCTTCTGGTTCTAGCATATTCAATCTAGAGAACGAACTTTATGTTATCAGGTTGGAAATTATGTTCACAACATTGCAACGTTTTTGGGCGGGCTCGTCATTGCATTTGTGAACTGCTGGCAGATTGCACTTGTAGCATTAGCGACAGGTCCAATAATTGTTGCTGCAGGCGCGTTATCAGATATATATCTCCATAAGTTTGCAGAAAGCCTTCAAGATGCTTATGTTGATGCTGCAAGGGTTGCTGAAGAGGTGTTTGTAACTCTACTTTTGAAGTTGAATGTGCTATATACAAATCATTGAAGTTTTCAAGTGGATTTCAATGAATAAAAGTAGTTGATACCATAAGAGTATATAGAGTTGATAATATGGTTCTTCTACTGCACTCTTAGATGCAACCTTTCTATGTAATGCAGGCTCTGTCAAACATTAGGACACTCTATGCATTCACAAATGAAGCATTAGCGAAGTATTCTTATGCGTCTTCTCTTCATGATACGCTGAAATATGGTATCATAATAAGCCTTGTTCAAGGGCTAGGACTTGGATTCACATATGGACTTGGAATGTGTTCTTGTGCTTTGCAACTTTGGGTCGGAGGGTTTTTAGTTACCAATGGAAAATCCAGCGGTGCTGAAATTGTCACTGCCGTTTTTGCTATGATTTTAAGTGGCCTGTAAGCATCTTTTTCTTTTGTTTACTTTTATATTCTTGGCAGAGGAGAGGGGCTTATTTTCACTTGTTCATCAATATTATTTTTTTAGTGGGATGAATCAGGCGTGGGCAAACCTGTATTCTTTTGAGCAAGGTCGTATAGCTGCATACAGACTCTATGGGGTTACAAGGCACTCCGCTTCTGCTGCTGCTTCAGATGGAAATACTTTAGTTTCTGTGCAAGGAAAGATCGAGTTCAGGAACGTTTATTTCAGCTACCCCTCTTGTCCTGTGGATCCTATCTTAAGTGGATTTTACCTTACTGTCCCTGCCAAAAAAACCGTGGCACTTGTGGGAAGAAGTGGATCAGGAAAAAGTAGCTTAATTCCTCTCCTGGAACGACATTATGATCCTACTTTGGGTAAGATGATTAGCTTCTATGAGTGTTTTACATTCAATCTTTATTATTTCTAAGATTTACAATTATTTCGTTATGAGGAGCAGGAGAGGTTCTTTTGGATGGAGTAAATACTAAAAGCCTGAAGCTAGAATGGTTCAGACGCCAAATAGGGCTTGTGACACAGGAACCGGCTTTAACATGTTTAAGCATAACAGATAACATTGCATATGGACGTCCTAATATCACATTCAAACAGATTGAGGAGGCTGCTAAAATAGCACATGTTCATGCATTCATAAACTCCCTTGAAAATGGATATGAGACTCAGGTATGCATACATTATGTTAACTTGACCTGAAGCTACCATTTTCTTACACCTCTTACATTCACAAAATTACGAATTTGATGCTCATCAGGTGGGCAAAGTTGGCTTAGAATTGACAGACGAGCAGAAGATAAAAATTTCTGTTGCTAGAGCAGTTCTTTTAAACCCTTCAATTATTTTGCTTGATGAAGTTACCAGCAAGCTCGATTTGGAAGCAGAAAAATCTGTTCAGGAGGTGTTACGTATCATTATGCTTGGGAGATCAACGATAATGATTGCTAGGAAATTAAGTCTTGTAAAATATGTTGATCTTATTGCTGTGATGGAGGGTGGTCAATGTGTTGAAATGGGTACTCATGATGAACTTATTAGCGCACATGGACTGTATTCAGAGATTCTTAGATGTGAAGAAGTGGTGAAACTTCCTGTAAAGTACGTTTTGTGTGATTTTGTGTCGAGTGTGGTCTGGTGGTGGTGTGGGTTTGTGATGGTTGAGTGAATTTCAATGTTTTTCCAGGTTGCCAAGTGGGAACCACAACGTAATGGAACTCAAAGCAGAAAATGACTCGGGCAATAAGACGGCCTTGGCAATGGAAAAGGTGGATAGTCTTGAAATGAGATCTACTGCAGACCATAAAGACCCTCAATTAAAAGACAAGTACAAGAGTAAACATCAGACTTCACCATCTTTAGGGAGACTTGTGAAGTTGAATTTACCAGAGTGGCTGTATGCAGTTTTGGGAAGCTTGGGGGCATCCATATTTGGATCTTTCAGGCCTATCCTTGCTTATGTGGTTGGGCTGATAGTGACTGCATACTATAGAGTTGATGGAAGTCATAACATTAAGTTTGATGTTAACAAATGGTGCTTGATAATTTCATGTATGGCTATTGTTATTTTAGTAGCGACCGTGTTGCAGCACTTCTACTTTGGGATTATGGGAGAAAAAATGACCGAAAGAGTTAGAAGAATGATGTTTTCAGGTATATATTCTTCGTTTCTTTCATCTTTTCCCAATACTGTAATTTAGATTTTACCACTGGTTCTTACTGAAATATGTTTCATTCTTTACATGTTTAACTTTTTTATCTTCAGCCATGCTCCAGAGAGATGTAGGATGGTTTGATAAAGACGAGAATGGTAGTGACAACTTGTTGATGAACTTGGCGAATGATGCCACGTATGTGTGTGCTGCTTTCAGCAACCGTCTCTCTATTCTTGTCCAGGACTTCTGTGCTGCTTTTGCTGCTATAATTATTGGGTTCTCTCTAGAATGGAGGTTGGCACTGGTGGCTTTGGCCACCATACCATTTCTTACAGTCTCTGCAGCTGCACAGGTTCTTTTTTTTTTTTTTTTTTTTTTTACTTCTTTCAAATGGGATCCATGTTTTCCATTCAGGTGCGGTCAAGAAAGTTTTGAGGAACTACCTTAAACCAAACTAGGTTTTTTTCTTTTTGGTTTCTTTTTTTTTTTTTTTTTTATCTTACTTCTTTCATCATTTTTCTCTTTTTTTCTCTCGAGTCCATTATATTAATCCCAATCTTAGTGTCTTTCTGAAGAAAAAGTTAAGTGTAATATGCTAGATAATTATGTTGTCACAACTCATTATGCATTCTTCCTAAAACTCTTGTCAAGCTCATACCAACATGGTGGTTTTTGTGATTTTATGATCGGATTCTTGACCTTTTTGATCCTGTCATTTTAGTTTTAGTTTCCTGAGGTTGGATAAAGTCTACCTCATTAAGGTATGCTAACCATGGAGAAGTTGTTGCTATTTGAGTCTTCAACATTCTTTGACAGTTTCTCCTTCTTAGTATCCAAGACATGGGATTTTTAGTTCAAGATTAAGCGAAAATATTCAATCTTATTGTACTTTTACGTTTTTCTTCTCTTATAGGGTTGTCAAAAGTGCTAATACTTTATTTAAACTTTCTTGTCGGACTCACTTTCAGAGAACGTGGCTTTCTGGGTTCTCAAGGGGCATTGAGGAGCTTCACAAGCAGGCGTCGCTGGTCCTGGAAGATGTGGTTAGAAACATCTCTACTGTCATGGCATATTGTGCTGGAAACGAAGCATCAAGACTCTACAGTTTGTACCTGAAAAAAGTTTACAGACGGGCGTTCCTCCATGGTATGTCAATTGGATTCGTGTTCGGCTTTTCAAGGTTTCTCCTTTTCGCTTGCAATGCTGTTTTACTTTGGTACACTGCTGTTTCTGTAAGAAATGGCTATATTGATCTTCCCACAGCCCTTAGAGAATACATTGTGTTCTCTTTTGCAACTTTTTCGCTGGTGGAACCTTTTGGCCTTGCAGTTAAATTTCACAAAAAGCGGAAAAATCTTGTTCGGGTTTTTGATATTATCGACCATGTTCCCAAGATTGGCCTTGATGAATCTTCTGCACTTAAACCTGTTACTGCTTGTGGAACCATTGAGTTTAAAAATGTTAACTTCTGTTACCCAACAAGTCCAGAAATTATGGTGTTACGGGATTTCAGTGTTAAAGTTGACGGAGGTCACACGGTGGGCGTGGTCGGAGTTTCAGGTTCTGGAAAAAGCACTTTACTTTCTCTGATTCTAAGGTTTTACGATCCAGTTTCTGGTCAGATACTTCTGGACGGAAAAGATCTGAAGCATTTCAATCTCAGATGGTTGAGGAACCAACTTGGTTTTGTCCAACAAGAACCTGTAATATTCTCAACCACCATTAGAGAAAACATCATCTACGCTAGGCGTCACGCAAGCGAAACCGAGATCAGGGACGCCGCCAGAATCGCAAATGCCCACCATTTCATTAGCAGTTTGCCTCAAGGATACGACACTCGAGTGGGTCCCGATGGAGTGGACTTAACACCTGGACAGAAACTGAGGATCGCGATTGCCCGTGTGGTCCTGAAGAACGCACCAATCTTGTTACTAGATGAGGCAGATAGTACGATCGAGCACGAGTCAAGACGTGTGGTGCAAGAGGCTCTTGACACACTTCTAATTGGCGGAAAAACAACGATTCTAGTTGCACGACGGGCTTCCATGATGAGACGAGTTGACAAAATCTTGGTTGTCAATGGTGGCCAAATTGTCGAACAAGGGACTCATGATTCTCTTGCAGCAATAAAGGATGGCGTTTACGCGAAACTGACACAACCTCATTTTGTAAAAGGACTTCGGCCTCACTTTCTTGGTTCTAGACGGTGACTTACACAAAACCAAGAAACCAAACCAAACGATCCCAATATATCCTCAGTGCAGGGGCTACAAAGAATGACATGTATGCAGACTTGTCCTCTGTCCAAAAAGCTAGAACAACTGTTTCCGTGAAGGCACTTGCATAAAACCGAGGTAATATTTATATAGTTCATACGAATTTCGCATGCCATTTATGTTGCTTTTTTTGCAAATAATCAACTACTTGATGTTGTTATAGGTTTTATTAAGTAGAGCATTCTTTTTGTAAATTCAAATGCACTCAAAGAGCATAATAAAATGATCATTTTTTTTACTTTTGTTAGCCCAGTATGTGATTGGCAGTTTTATTAGAATTCTTGTTCTACTTCTTCCAATTACCAGTAGACCCTTTTCTAGTTTCCAGATGCATGGTATTATTTTCTATATGTGTGAATTTGGATGATTATGAATGTGATAATAGGTGGAACCCTCATTACTCTCTTAAAAGAGTTGTTGAGGGGAGAAGGGAGTTTCCAGCATACTGGGGCGAACCTATGAAGACTTGATCGGGGTACTCTGCACCCACTAAACCGATTTTCTCAAGTAGAAATCTTTTTGGGGTATGAACGGTGTTCAAGCTAAACTTTAAGGGGTGTTCTGGAATATTAGAAAATACAAGGAATATTAACCAAAGAACCGGAAAAGTACCATCGAAATCAACCAAATCAAAACGAAAAAATCCATTGAAACAGTGGAATTCAGCTAAAAACACATCAGACGACTTTGCAGGCCTTTGATCCACTATAAAGGTGTACTTGCTCGACAAAAATTGAGGGTTTGCGACTGCCATTATATATTAAGGAGAAATGGTTCAAATCTAGCACTTGGGATTCCAACACACCCCCTCCAATGAAGGCTAGATGGACAAATTGGTGTCAAAGTGTTGAGAGGGGGCTAGTGAGTACGGATTACTCCAGAGTGTTGAGTCCTAGAATGGACCTTGACATGTAAGAGGGGATGTAGAAAATCAACCGATCCAATTGGAACCGACTGATCCAATTAGAACCGACCGATCATAATTGGATATCCAATTGTAATTAGATCGGATTGAATTGAAAATTTCAACATTCAATGCCATCCGAGAATCGAACCGAACCGATCAACATCCAATTACTTATCCAATTAGTCATCCGATGACCATCCAGTTGTGCATCCAACCATTATCCAACTATCATTCAATTAATTTTTTTTTCAAATTGCTTAAATCAACATTTGTTTTAAGTGAGGCTTTGAATTTTTAACTTCCCTTGTGTTGGTTTTAACACATATTAAAAGTGATTAATCAATTTGTATCATTATTGGAGAATTGAATTGAATTAACACACTGGATGGATTCAATACGGATCATCCATTGGATATCCATCGGATATCCAATAAAGTATCCAATGGATGGAACCGAAGTGATCCAATCATCCATTGGATTGGATTAGATCGATTATCCAATGTTAATCAGATCGGATTGGTTGGCAAAATCCAACAACGAATGGATGATTGGATCGCTTCAGTTCCCCTCACATTCAATGAATGTCAACCGATGAACAGGCTAGTGAGAGTATCTGGAAATGCATATTAATCTCCAAAAGAGATATTAGAAAGAGAATGAAGGTTCCAACATATATTCTGGAGAATTTGGTTCATGTCTTTTGTGTATAGGTTTACCCTCCAATGTGTGTTGTTTTTGCTTGTGTTAAGTTGTGTTGTAGTCTTTTTATGATTTGGCCTGCATCTGCTCATGCATTTGGAATAATGTTCCAGTTTGTGTTGGTGAACTCAGAGTCGGGGACCAGAAGACCGGCATGGCTTGTTACGCACACCGGTCAAAGCTGGTCCTTAGTCCTGGTCTGGATTGACAATTCTTTCTGGTCGATATAACAACCATCAAGAATGGTCCAAAGCCGCTAGGCCCATTCAAAAAAGGATGAAGCAAATCAGTCTGAACTTGATGCATATCTTGAAATTGCTTCATTTTAAAGAATTGTTCTATCTTTAACAACAATCTCATCCAATTCAAAGTTATTTAAAAAAATAATCGCTCTTTCATCTACTCAATCTTTAATTCCAACCTGATCTTAAAAATTATTTTATAAAAATTGTATATTTAATATTTTACTATATATATATATATATATATATGTGTGTGTGTGTGTGTGTGTGTATAGACGATTTCACATTTTTAAACGTAATTATAAATCTAACAAGTGTACAATTGAAAAAAAAATAAAACAAACTACAAAAAGAAGCACGAAGTTACATATCTGAAATTGACGTGTTGAAAATACATCGATATTAGTTTCTATTTGTAGAGAATTGAAAAAATATGAATTTTTTTAATTTTTATTTATTAAAATTACATTTTAATCATATAAGTTTTGTCCTAATAAAATTTGAAACGAACCAATTAATATGTGACAACTAGGGCTGTAAACAAACCGAACGTTCAGCGAATCGTTCGTGAACCGTTCGGCGGGAAGTTCGTTTATGTTCGTTTATTTAATAAATGAACAAATATGAACAATTATTTTTGTTCGTTTAGTTAAACGAACGAACATGAACAAAAATCTCGTTCGTTCATTTATGTTCGTGAACGTTCGTTCATTTAGCGTTCATTTACATTCGTTCATTTAGCGTTCGTTTACGTTCGTTTATATATTAAATTTAATATAATCTTTTATTTATTTACTTTTAATTCAAATAATATTTACTTATATTCGTTTAGCCCGTTCGTTTATGTTCGTTCGTTTAGCATGTTAATGAACGAACATCAACGAACACGAACACACCTTATTTCTAAACGAACGAACAAGAACACAAAGATTTTCGTTCGTTTATATTTTTGGAAGATAATCATATTTTATTTTTAAAAATTAACCAATAATATTATTTAATGATTTTTATTTTTGAAAGATATCCATATTTATTTTTGGAAAATGATCAATAATAGTATTTGAATGATTTTTGTTTAAAGGTAAAATCAGAAAGTTCATAGGTGAAATCATAAAGTAAAACAATGATTTTTGTATAAAGTTAATCGACGAAACCAAATAATCAAAGTTCATAGGTGACGAAAAAGTGAAACAATGATTTTTATTTAAAATTCATAAGTGAAACCAGATATCCAAAGTTCATAAGTGAAACCAGATAATCAAAAAAAAAAACCAGGTCCGTACATTTTACCAGTGCTTTTAAGTGCATCACAATTGGTTCCGAGATTGTATACTTGCATACCATTTGAGTCTAGCAACTATAGTTCGAGGGTTGCTATCCTCTTGGGGATTGGACTCCACGTTCGAGTTTTCCAGCTGTGGTATGGAAGTTACAATTGGACTCTTTTGTCGGCACTTGGCTGTTGATTACAACTAAGTTAGAGCAATTCTAATACGTTACTACTTGATTTACCTCTTACATGATTCTATCAAACGCCAAATTTTTCAAAATCTCGATTTTCTTCATTTTAAAGAACTTGTGGAATATGCTCTCGAGTTTTTTGTTATTAGACTATAATAATAATAATAATAATAATAATAATAATTAGTGCATATAATCATTTTTTATTTATATTATATATAAAATAAATTTTAAATAAACTAAACCAAACATACATTATGTCTTGTTATTTATTAAAAAAATAATATATCATTCATTTTGTAGCTTTATAAATTTCAATTATGTGTATGTAGTCGTATGGTTTGTCATAAATAAATCAAATAAAAACCTTAAAAATTCAAATAGTAACCAATATTTTTTTTTCTATATTCTTATAGAATATATCATCGATAAATCTACAACTTTATAAATTCATAATATAACTCATCACTTTTTTTTATTTAAGTTTTTGAATATTCAAAGAATAATCTATTTGTTATTTGTCAACCCTTAAAATTTATATGACACTCGTTACTTTTTATCAGAAAAAATTAGCACAATTTGGTTTTCATTATTCTTTATATTTGTATTTTTTTTAAAATATATTATTTTTATCATAAATATAAAATATTAATACAAAGAAACAAAAATATAATATAAAAATAATAATAAAATTAATTATAGATTAAAAGAAGTATTTAAAATTGAAGTTTCACAATAATAATAATAATAATAATAATAATAATAATAATAATAATAATAATAATAATAATAATAATAATAATAATAATAATAATAATAATAATTTGATGAAATGAAATAAAAGTTATAATAATTATAAATAAAAAATAATTAAAATACAAATAAATTTGTAAATGGCATGATTATTGAGTGATGGGGAATAATAGCTTTGAGGGTGTTTAACATGGAGGTATCCTTTTTGCTATTGTCAACATTTATGGGTGCAATAGTCTATGATGTCATTTGATTTGCATAATGTTTTTGTGTGGAATGAAATCTATTAAAAAATTTAAATTTGAAGGAATTTGAATAAAATGTTATCAGGTTTGACTACCTGTTTGGTTGACAGACATTAGAATGAAATATGTTAAAGAATTAGAATCTGTCTGTTTGATTCACAGAATGTAGCTTTTGAATTAGAATAAAATATTGATATATGACCAAAATGGTCTTTTTTTGAAAATTTTAATTTTTTTAAAACTAAAAATACTTTAATAAAATGATTATTTAATATGTAAAACAATATAAAAATATACAACCCAAATATAACCATAAGCCAAACGACGTTACTAAATCGACGATGGTTGGTGGTAGTTCAGATCGGTGGTGGTCCACGGTGGTTCAGATCGATGGTGGTTCGCAATGGTTCAGATGGTGGTGGTCTGTAGTAGTTCAGATCGATGGTGGTCCGCGGTGGTTCAGATGGCGGTGGTCTGCAGTAGTTTAGATCGATGGTGGTCTGCGTGGTTCATATAGACGGTGGTTCAGATCGGCGGTGGTGGTGGCAACAGTGGTTCAGATTGGTGGTTGTTCTAATCTTTGGTGGTCGACGGTGTTCGGCGGTGATTTAGATCGATGGTAGTCGG